CTGACACCACTAAAGCAGGGTGCTGACTCCTCTAAGGCAGGTGTGCTGACACCTCTAAAGCAGGGTGCTGACTCCTCTAAGGCAGGGTGCTGACACCTCTAAAGCAGGGTGCTGACACCTCTAAAGCAGGGGTGCTGACTCCTCTAAGGCAGGGTGCTGACACACTAAAGCAGGGTGCTGACACCTCTAAAGCAGGGTGCTGACTCCTCTAAAGCAGGGTGCTGACACCTCTAAGCAGGGTGCTGACACCACTAAAGCAGGGTGCTGACTCCTCTAAAGCAGGGTGCTGACACCACTAAAGCAGGGTGCTGACACCTCTAAAGCAGGGTGCTGACACCACTAAGCAGGGTGCTGACTCCTCTTAAGCAGGGTGCTGACACCTCTAAGGCAGGGTGCTGACACCACTAAAGCAGGGTGCTGACACCTCTAAGGCAGGGTGCTGACTCCACTAAAGCAGGGTGCTGACACCATGTTGCAGGGTGCTGACACCACTAAAGCAGGGTGCTGACACCACTAAAGCAGGGTGCTGACACCTCTAAGGCAGGGTGCTGACACCTCTAAAGCAGGGTGCTGACACCACTAAAGCAGGGTGCTGACTCCTCTAAGGCAGGGTGCTGACTCCTCTAAAGCAGGGTGCTGACCTCCTCTAAAGCAGGGTGCTGACTCCTCTAAGGCAGGGTGCTGACACCTCTAAAGCAGGGTGCTGACACCTCTAAGGCAGGGTGCTGACTCCTCTAAGGCAGGGGTGCTGACTCCTCTAAGGCAGGGTGCTGACACCTCTAAGGCAGGGTGCTGACACCTCTAAGCAGGGTGCTGACACCTCTAAGGCAGGGTGCTGACTCCATCTTTAGGCAGGGTGCTGACTCCTCTAAGGCAGGGTGCTGACACCTCTAAAGCAGGGTGCTGACTCCTCTAAGGCAGGGTGCTGACACCTCTAAAGCAGGGTGCTGACACCTCTAAAGCAGGGTGCTGACTCCTCTAAGGCAGGGTGCTGACACCACTAAAGCAGGGTGCTGACACCTCTAAAGCAGGGTGCTGACTCCTCTAAAGCAGGGTGCTGACACCTCTAAAGCAGGGTGCTGACACCTCTAAGCAGGGTGCTGACACCTCTAAGGCAGGTGCTGACCTCCATGTTGCAGGGTGCTGACTCCTCTAAGGCAGGGTGCTGACACCTCTAAGGCAGGGTGCTGACACCATCTAAAGCAGGGTGCTGACACCTCTAAGGCAGGGTGCTGACACCTCTAAAGCAGGGTGCTGACACCTCTAAAGCAGGGTGCTGACACCTGCTAAAGCAGGGTGCTGACTCCTCTAAGGCAGGGTGCTGACTCCTCTAAGGCAGGGTGCTGACTCCTCTAAAGCAGGGTGCTGACTCCTCTAAGGCAGGGTGCTGACACCTCTAAGGCAGGGTGCTGACACCTCTAAAGCAGGGTGCTGACACCACTAAAGCAGGGTGCTGACACCTCTAAAGCAGGGTGCTGACTCCTCTAAAGCAGGGTGCTGACTCCTCTAAGGCAGGGTGCTGACACCTCTAAAGCAGGGTGCTGACTCCATGTTGCAGGGTGCTGACACCACTAAAGCAGGGTGCTGACACCACTAAAGCAGGGTGCTGACTCCTCTAAAGCAGGGTGCTGACACCTCTAAAGCAGGGTGCTGACACCTCTAAAGCAGGGTGCTAACACCTCTAAAGCAGGGTGCTAACACCTCTAAAGCAGGGTGCTGACTCCTCTAAAGCAGGGTGCTGACTCCATGTTGCAGGGTGCTGACACCACTAAAGCAGGGTGCTGACACCACTAAAGCAGGGTGCTGACTCCTCTAAAGCAGGGTGCTGACACCTCTAAAGCAGGGTGCTGACTCCTCTAAGGCAGGGTGCTGACACCACTAAAGCAGGGTGCTGACACCTCTAATGCAGGGTGCTGACTCCACTAAAGCAGGGTGCTGACACCACTAAAGCAGGGTGCTGACTCCTCTAAAGCAGGGTGCTGACACCACTAAAGCAGGGTGCTGACTCCTTAAGGCAGGGTGCTGACTCCTCTAAGGCAGGGTGCTGACACCACTAAAGCAGGGGTGCTGACTCCTCTAAAGCAGGGTGCTGACACCACTAAAGCAGGGTGCTGACTCCTCTAAGGCAGGGTGCTGACACCTCTAAGGCAGGGTGCTGACACCACTAAAGCAGGGTGCTGACACCTCTAAGGCAGAGTGCTGACTCCATGTTGCAGGGTGCTGACTCTTCTAAGGCAGGGTGCTGACACCTCTAAGGCAGGGTGCTGACACCACTAAAGCAGGGTGCTGACACCTCTAAGGCAGGGTGCTGACACCTCTAAAGCAGGGTGCTGACACCTCTAAAGCAGGGTGCTGACACCTCTAAAGCAGGGTGCTGACTCCATGTTGCAGGGTGCTGACACCACTAAAGCAGGGTGCTGACTCCTCTAAAGCAGGGTGCTGACACCTCTAAAGCAGGGTGCTGACACCTCTAAGGCAGGGTGCTGACACCTCTAAAGCAGGGTGCTGACTCCTCTAAAGCAGGGTGCTGACACCTCTAAGGCAGGGTGCTGACACCTCTAAAGCAGGGTGCTGACACCTCTAAAGCAGGGTGCTAACACCTCTAAAGCAGGGTGCTAACACCTCTAAAGCAGGGTGCTGACTCCTCTAAAGCAGGGTGCTGACTCCATGTTGCAGGGTGCTGACACCACTAAAGCAGGGTGCTGACACCACTAAAGCAGGGTGCTGACTCCTCTAAAGCAGGGTGCTGACACCGCTAAGGCATTGTGCTGACACCTCTAAAGCAGGGTGCTGACTCCTCTAAAGCAGGGTGCTGACTCCTCTAAGGCAGGGTGCTGACACCTCTAAAGCAGGGTGCTAACACCTCTAAAGCAGGGTGCTAACACCTCTAAAGCAGGGTGCTGACTCCTCTAAAGCAGGGTGCTGACTCCATGTTGCAGGGTGCTGACACCACTAAAGCAGGGTGCTGACACCACTAAAGCAGAGTGCTGACTCCTCTAAAGCAGGGTGCTGACACCTCTAAAGCAGGGTGCTGACACCTCTAAGGCAGGGTGCTGACACCTCTAAAGCAGGGTGCTGACTCCTCTAAAGCAGGGTGCTGACACCTCTAAGGCATGGTGCTGACACCTCTAAAGCAGGGTGCTGACACCTCTAAAGCAGGGTGCTAACACCTCTAAAGCAGGGTGCTAACACCTCTAAAGCAGGGTGCTGACTCCTCTAAAGCAGGGTGCTGACTCCATGTTGCAGGGTGCTGACACCACTAAAGCAGGGTGCTGACACCACTAAAGCAGGGTGCTGACACCTCTAAAGCAGGGTGCTGACACCACTAAGGCAGGGTGCTGACACCTCTAAAGCAGGGTGCTGACTCCTCTAAAGCAGGGTGCTGACTCCTCTAAGGCAGGGTGATGACACCTCTAAAGCAGGGTGCTAACACCTCTAAAGCAGGGTGCTAACACCTCTAAAGCAGGGTGCTGACTCCTCTAAAGCAGGGTGCTGACTCCATGTTGCAGGGTGCTGACACCACTAAAGCAGGGTGCTGACACCACTAAAGCAGGGTGCTGACTCCTCTAAAGCAGGGTGCTGACACCACTAAGGCAGGGTGCTGACACCACTAAAGCAGGGTGCTGACTCCTCTAAAGCAGGGTGCTGACTCCTCTAAAGCAGGGTGCTGACACCACTAAGGCAGGGTGCTGACACCACTAAAGCAGGGTGCTGACACCTCTAAAGCAGGGTGCTGACTCCTCTAAGGCAGGGTGCTGACACCACTAAAGCAGGGTGCTGACACCACTAAAGCAGGGTGCTGACTCCTCTAAAGCAGGGTGCTGACTCCATGTTGCAGGGTGCTGACACCACTAAAGCAGGGTGCTGACACCACTAAAGCAGGGTGCTGACTCCTCTAAAGCAGGGTGCTGACACCGCTAAGGCAGGGTGCTGACACCTCTAAAGCAGGGTGCTGACTCCTCTAAAGCAGGGTGCTGACTCCTCTAAGGCAGGGTGCTGACACCTCTAAAGCAGGGTGCTAACACCTCTAAAGCAGGGTGCTAACACCTCTAAAGCAGGGTGCTGACTCCTCTAAAGCAGGGTGCTGACTCCATGTTGCAGGGTGCTGACACCACTAAAGCAGGGTGCTGACACCACTAAAGCAGGGTGCTGACTCCTCTAAAGCAGGGTGCTGACACCTCTAAGGCAGGGTGCTGACACCTCTAAAGCAGGGTGCTGACTCCTCTAAAGCAGGGTGCTGACACCTCTAAGGCAGGGTGCTGACACCTCTAAAGCAGGGTGCTGACTCCTCTAAAGCAGGGTGCTGACACCTCTAAGGCAGGGTGCTGACACCTCTAAAGCAGGGTGCTGACACCTCTAAAGCAGGGTGCTTACACCTCTAAAGCAGGGTGCTAACACCTCTAAAGCAGGGTGCTGACTCCTCTAAAGCAGGGTGCTGACTCCATGTTGCAGGGTGCTGACACCACTAAAGCAGGGTGCTGACACCACTAAAGCAGGGTGCTGACACCTCTAAAGCAGGGTGCTGACACCACTAAGGCAGGGTGCTGACACCTCTAAAGCAGGGTGCTGACTCCTCTAAAGCAGGGTGCTGACTCCTCTAAGGCAGGGTGATGACACCTCTAAAGCAGGGTGCTAACACCTCTAAAGCAGGGTGCTAACACCTCTAAAGCAGGGTGCTGACTCCTCTAAAGCAGGGTGCTGACTCCATGTTGCAGGGTGCTGACACCACTAAAGCAGGGTGCTGACACCACTAAAGCAGGGTGCTGACTCCTCTAAAGCAGGGTGCTGACACCACTAAGGCAGGGTGCTGACACCACTAAAGCAGGGTGCTGACTCCTCTAAAGCAGGGTGCTGACTCCTCTAAAGCAGGGTGCTGACACCACTAAGGCAGGGTGCTGACACCACTAAAGCAGGGTGCTGACTCCTCTAAAGCAGGGTGCTGACTCCTCTAAAGCAGGGTGCTGACACCTCTAAGGCAGGGTGCTGACTCCGTGTTGCAGGGCGTAAGCAGACGGTCTCCAGGAAGCTGCACCCAGGAGCTGGGCTCAGCGCTCATGCAGGGAGCTTCAGCGGTGAGCACTCAACCACTAACTAGCACTATACTAGTACTAACTAGTACTATACTAGTACTAACTACTACTATACTAATACTAACTAGTACTATACTAGTACTAACTACTACTATACTAATACTAACTAGTACTAACTAGTACTATACGAGTACTAACTAGCACTAACTAGTATTATACTAGCACTATACTAGTACTAACTAGTACTATACTACTAACTAGCACCAAACTAGTACTATACTAGTACTATACTACTAACTAGTACTAACTAGTACTAACTAGCACCAAACTAGTACTATACTAGTACTATACTAGTAATATACTACTAACTAGTACTATACTAGTACTATACTAGTACTATACTACTAACTAGCACTATACTAGTACTATACTACTAACTAGCACTATACTAGTACTATACTAGTACTATACTACTAACTAGCACTATACTAGTACTATACTAGTAATATACTACTAACTAGTACTATACTAGTACTATACTACTAACTAGCACTAAACTAGTACTATACTAGTACTATACTACTAACTAGCACTATACTAGCAATATACTACTAACTAGCACTATACTAGTACTAACTACTACTATACTAGTTCTATACTAGTACTATACTAGTACTAACTAGTACTAACTAGCACTATACTAGTACTAACTAGCACTATACTAGTACTATACTAGTACTAACTAGCGCTATACTAGTACTAACTAGCACTAACTAGTACTAACTACTAATATACTAATACTAACTAGTACTAACTAGTACTATACTACTAACTAGCACTAAACTAGTACTATACTAGTACTATACTACAAACTAGCACTATACTAGTACTATACTAGTAATATACTACTAACTAGCACTAAACTAGTACTATACTAGTACTATAGCACTAACTAGTACTAACTAGTACTATACTACTAACTAGTACTAACTAGTACTAGTTAGTAGTAGTTAGTGGTACACTAACTACTAGTATTTAGTACTAGTACTAGTTAGTACTATTGCTAACTAGTACTAGTACTAACTAGTACTAGTTAGTAGTCTCTACTCAAGGTCTATCTCTAACTCTGGGTGTTTCTCACCCCCCCCTATCCACCCCCACCCCCCGTGCCCCCCCCGTGCTCCCCCCACCCCTCGTGCCCCTCCCCCCAGGTGGGCGCCCCCCGCTGTCTCCGTTCCACTCCACAGCAGCGCTGGAGGCGACGTCACTCGGTCCGTGTGTGGGAGTTGTGTAGTGTGGTGTGTGTGGTGTGTGTATGTAGTGTGGTGTGTGTGTATGTGTGTGTAGTGTGTGTGGTGTGTGTAGTGTTTGTGTATGTGTAGTGTGTGTATGTGTGTGTATGTGTGTGTGGTGTGTGTATGTGTGTGTGTATGTGTGTGTGTAGTGTGTGTGTGTAGTGTGTGTATGTATGTAGTGTGTGTGTATGTGTGTGTGTATGTGTATCTGTGTGTGTATGTAGTCCAGCAAAACAATCCCCTACCTCCTCGCGGTGCCGGACGGGCAACTCTCTCGTGGACAGTGCTGTGGGGGGAGGTCCAATTTCGATTGGCTCCTCCCCTCATGGCGTCTGTGTCTACCACAGGGGCTAAACGGGGGCTCTGGACGGGTGTAAGCTTGTGCCGGAGGCCCCGGGGGGACAGGCGTCTATGACGTCTCCTGGCCAAACCCCAATTGGCGGAGCCAGGGGATTGAATCTCTACCCTCGGGGCTCCTCCAGAAACAACGAAAAACCACTACGGATGGCCACGTGGAATGTTCGAACGCTCACTGCGGAGGAGAGGCTGCCACTCCTCTGTCGGGAGCTGGACCGGTAACGCCTGGATCTGTGTGGCATTCAGGAGGTCCGGTGGACCGGCTCTGGCTCCTGCCACCATGAGGGGTGGACAGTCCTCTACTTGGGGCAGCAGACTGCCAAACAACAGGGTGTGGCTCTTCTTTTGAACAAAAGAATGAAGGGGGCGTGGGAGCGTGGCGGTGAGGTGTGGGAAGCTGTAAGCCCCAGGCTACTTTGGGCTCGCCTTCCCATCAACCGGAGGCGAGGAGTGGTGGTCGTGGTTACTTATGCCCCCACCGAAGACGAACATCCGTGGAGGGATGCAGGCAAAGCCGATGAGTCAGATGCTTTCTATGACCTCCTGTCACAGGTGCTGGCTAAAGTGGCACCTCGGGATAGAGTCATCATGTTGGGTGACTTCAATGCCCGAGTTGGTCATGATACTGGCACCTGGCCTGGAGTGATTGGAGGGCATGGGCCAGATCAGCTCAATAAGAACGGAAGGAGGCTGCTAGATTTTTGTGCAGCCCATGGGCTTGTAATTACCAACATGCTGTTCCGGCATCGGCGCATCCACACAACATCATGGATGCATGCCGGGTCCAAGCAAGAACATCTGCTGGACTACATAGTGACGGACCAGCGGATGCGAGCCCATGTCCTTGACAACAGGACCTACCGTGGAGCTGATCTGCCCTCTGACCATCGACTAGTCATCTGTAAGATGCGCCTGCCATTCTTCCACTCCCGTGGTGGGTGTACACCCAGGACCCCATTCCAACCTAAAGTGGCCTGGTCTCAGTTATCTGATGAAAGTTGCAAGCGAGAATTTCATCATCGCTTGCGGCTGGGGTTGGCATCGTCCCCCACTCCTCCTGATGTCGAGGGTAAATGGGCGAGGTTTAGGACTGTGACTCATGCGGCTGCAATGGCTGCTTTGGGTACGCGGTCCAGACCTCCTCAGAGACCCTGGCTGACAGAGGAGGTGTTCAGGATGGTTGAGAAAAAGCGACAAGCCCACTGTCATCGGCTACAGAATCCCACGTCAGAGAATGAGGAGGCTTACCGCAGCCTTCGCTCGGAGGTTCGGAGAGCCGTGAGGCGCTGCAAGGATGGGTGATGGTCGCGGGTTGCTGAGGAGATGGAGTCTGCCTCAGTGGCCCGCGATCACAAATCTCTATTGAACTCCATAAAAAAGTAACCTGCAGCGCCACACCTATTACCATCATTAGGGGAAAAAACGGTGATCCAATCTCAGACCCCCAGTAACAGGTTTGCAGATTTGCTGAGCATTTCTGTGAGGTCCTGGGGGAGGGATAATCCCTCAGCCAGGAAAACATTGTGGCACAAAGTGAGGATGACCCTGCTGAGGCTGCGGTGCCTCAAATATTGGAAGAAGTCACCCCCTGTAAGTGGCTGGCTGAGGTGCCATCTGTTGAGGAAGTACTGAAGGCGATCCGGAGTCTGAGACCAGGAAAGGCAGTGGGCAGAGATGATCTCCCAAGCGACATGCTGAGAGATGGTGGCGTTTGTGCTCAGACTGTCCTATATGACATCATAACAACAGTCTGGACCACTGGACGGGTTCCACAGGATTGGAAGGATGCCCTGGTGATCCGCCTCTTTAAGAAGGGGGACCGCACAGACTGTAACAACTACAGGGGCATCTCACTCCTCAGTGTGCCGGGAAAGGTCCTGGCAAGGATTATTCAACATCGCCTTGCCAGGCACGCTGAGGAGAGGCTTGCGGAGCCCCAATGCAGTTTCAGGAAAGGGCGGTCCTGCACAGATGCCATATTTTCTGTCCGTCTGCTACAGCAGAGGTGTAGGGAATTCCAGGAAGACCTACATCTCTGGTTTATTGACCTGGTCAAGGCCTATGATACCATCAGTAGGCCTGGGCGCTGGGTTGTTCTTCGTGCTTTTGGAGTACCTGACCCTCTGCTCACGATCATTAAGGCCCTTCATGATGGTGAGCGGGCCCGGGTAAAACTACGTGGCCGGGAGTCGGAGCCATTCCCTCTACACCTTGTGGTGTGACAGGGATGTCCTCTGGCTCCCACATTATTTAACATCTATTTTGACCACGTAGTTTGTGAAACCTTCAATAGCTGTACCGGGGAATCTCCATTTGGCACAGATATAATGGGAGGCTGATCGATGCCCGGGTGCGGTCAAGGGATGGCTCCCTATTGCTCAACCACGTTATGTATGCCGATGATTTGGTAATAGCTGCTCATTCAGAGGGGGAGTTGGAGATGCTGCTGCTGAGACTGGAGCGTGCTACTAAGAGATGGGGCCTTACCATCAGCCCCACCAAAACTAAGCACCTGCCTGGATATTTTGTACCATCGGACACTCCACCCCCACAATTCCCAATCGGTGATGGAGCAGTTGTGGAGAGAGTGGAGAGTTTCCCATACATGGGCAGTGTGCTTATGACTGGCTCCAGTTTAACAGCAGAGGTCTCACTCCGAATCAGTCGAGCGGCAATATCTTTTCATCGGTTGCGTAACGCTGTGTGGAAGCTACCTGGTCCGTCGCTCCGCACTAAGCTTCAGGTCTTCTCGGCCACGGTCATTCCCTCCCTTCTCTACGCTTGCGAAACGTGGACCCTCCTGGGTTTAACCAGACTGGATTGTCTGAGGAGCTCACAAATCCTTGAAAGATCTGGGCAAGGTCCCATCGGTGAGCTCCTCCGGCGGGGAAGGCTGCGATGGCTGGGTCATGTAGCCCGCATGCCCAGCCACCGCATGCCGAAACAGCCTTTGTTGGCCGGATTGAGGGGGCTTAACGGGCGCGGCACGGGCTAGAGAAGAGATGGAGTGATGTGGTACAGGAGGACGTGGAGCTGAGTGGACTTGCCGATGACCGGTACCAGCGGTGTCAAGATCGGCCTCTGTGGAGGAGGCTCGTGAAGGACGCTACTGGGCAGTTGGAGGTAGTCGCCCTCCAACAACAACGGAGGGTGGAGGAGCGACGCTCAGAACAACGAACGGAGCGCCGGGTGGCTAAAGCACAGCAGGTTGGCACAGTAGGGGGCACAGGTGGTGCATCAGCCAGTCATCTCAGTCAGTCGACCCGTGGCACCTGGGTCTGCCCCGTGACCTCCTGCCAGCGGGCGTTCGAAATTTCACGTGTCCTCAGGGTGCACATAGCCTGGCACAAGCGTCGTGGTGACGTCACCGGCACTTAGTGGCGAAAGGCGGTTGTTGTTGTTGTGACTGTGTGTGCGTGACTGTGTGTGCGTGACTGTGTGTATGTCTGTGTGTGTGACTGTGTGTGTGACTGTGTGCGTGTCTGTGTGTGTGTCTGTGTGTGTGACTGTGTGTGTGTCTGTGTGTGTGACTGTGTGTGTGTGTGTCTGTGACTGTGTGTGTGTGTGACTGTGTGTGTGACTGTGTGTATGTCTGTGTGTGTGTCTGTGTGTGTGACTGTGTGTGTGACTGTGTGTGTGTGTCACTGTGTGTGTGTGTGACTGTGTGTGTGTGACTGTGTGTGTCTGTGTGTGTGTCTGTGTGTGTGTGTGACTGTGTGCGTGTCTGTGTGTGTGACTGTGTGTGTGACTGTGTGTGTGTGTCTGTGTGTGTGACTGTGTGTGTGTGACTGTGTGTGTGTGACTGTGTGTGTGTGACTGTGTGTAGATCTGCCTGTGAGTGAGGAGCGCATCAGCCCACCCCACAAAGGTGCGATGGTGATGATCGTGATGATGATCGTGATGATGGGGATGATGATGGCGACGTTGATAATGATTCTGATGATGTCGATGGTGCTGATGATGTAGATGGTGGTGATGATGATGTTGCTGATGATGGTGATGTTGATGGTTATGGTAATGATGATGATGTTGATGATGTTGATGATGGTGATGATGGTAATGATGGTGATGATGATGATGATGTTGGTGATGATGGTAATGATGTTGATGGTGATGATGGTCATGATGATGTTGATGATGGTGATGATGATGGTGATGATGATGTTGATGATGGTGATGATGTTGATAATGGTGATATTGATGGTTATGGTAATGATGATGATGTTGGTGATGATGGTGATGATGTTGATGATGATGGTGATGATGTTGATAATGGTGATATTGATGGTTATGGTAATGATGATGATGATGTTGGTGATAATGGTGACGGTGATGATGATAGTGATGATGTTGATGATGATGGTGATGTTGTTGATAATGGTGATGTTGATGGTTATGGTAATGATGATGATGTTGGTGATGATGGTAATGATGTTGATGATGGTGATGATGATGGTGATGACGTCACCATACATCCGTCTCCCATGACTCCTCCCACCATTTCAGAGCCGTTCAGCGATCAGCCAATCAGAGACGAGCTCAGCAACCCGTGTCTCGTCCCCCTCCTGCATGGTGAGTGACGGGGTCTGGGCCCCTCCTAGGTCAGCTCAGCCCGAAAATAAATACGTGGTGGGTGGGTGGGTGGATGAGTGAGTGGGTGAGTGGGTGGGTGGGTGAGTGAGTGGGTGGGTGAGTGGGTGGGTGAGTGGGTGAGTGGGTGATTGGGTGCGTGGTTGGTTGAGTGGGTGGGTGAGTGGGTGGGTGGTTGAGTGGGTGGGTGGGTGAGTGAGTGGGTGAGTGGGTGAGTGGTTGGGTGAGTGGGTGAGTGGGTGGGTGAGTGGGTGAGTGGGTCAGTGGGTGGGTGAGTGAGTGGGTGGGTGGCTGAGTGAGTGGGTGAGTGGGTGAGTGGGTACGTGAGTGGGTGAGTGGGTGGGTGGGTGTGTGAGTGGGTGGGTGAGCTAAGGCTATTCGGGGGATCTTTATCTTTATCTGTGTGTCTGTGTGTGTGTGTCTGTGTGTGTCTGTGTGTGTGTCTGTCTGTGTGTGTGTCTCTGTGTGTGTGTGTCTGTATGTGTGTCTGTGTGTTTGTGTGTGTCTGTGTGTGTGTATGTACGTGTGTGTGTCTGTGTGTATGTGTGTCTGTGTGTGTGTCTGTGTGTCTGTGTGTCTGTGTGTGTGTGTCTGTGTGTGTGTCTGTGTGTGTGTCTGTGTGTGTGTGTATGTGTGTGTGTCTGTGTGTGTGTCCACAGAGTCACACTCTGCGTGCGTCAAGGTGAAATGCTGTGGCAGAGATTTCTGAATCTGGAAACACAAAATCAGATCGTCGTGCACACACACAGACACATAGACACACACACACAGACACACACACACTGACACATACACACTGACACACACACAGACACACACACACTGACACACACAGACTGACACACACACTGACACACACACAACAACAACCGCCATTCGCCACTAAGTGGCGGTGACGTCACCACGACGCTTGTGCCAGGCCACCTTGAGGTCACGTGAAGTGTCGAACGCCCGCTGGCAGGAGGTCACGGGGCAGACCCAGGTGCCACGGGTCGACTGACTGAGATGACTGAGATGACTGGCTGATGCACCAACTGTGCCCCCTACTGTGCCAACCTGCTGTGCTTTAGCCACCCGGCGCTCCGCTCGTTGTTGTGAGCGTCGCTCCTCCGCCCTCCGTTGTTGTTGGAGGGCGACTGCCTCCAACTGCCCAGTAGCATCCTTCACGAGCCTCCTCCACAGAGGCCGATCTTGACACCGCTGGTACCAGTCATCGGCAAGTCCACTCAACTCCACGTCCTCCTGTACCACGTCACTCCATCTCTTCTCTAGCCCGTGCCGCGCCCGTTTAGCCCCCTAAATCCGGCCGAACAAAAGCTGTTTCAGCATGCGGTGGTTGGGCATGCGGGCTACATGACCCAGCCAATGCAGCCTTGCCTGCCGGAGGAGCTCACCGTTGGGACTTCAAGGATTTGTGAGCTCCTCACACAATCCAGCCTGCAGGTTAAACCCAGGATGGATCGTAGACAGGCCAGCCTAAATGTTTCTAACCGGCGAAGATGCTCCATTAGGGGGGTCCACGTTTCACAAAGGTAGAGAAGGGAGGGAATGACCGTGGCCGAGAAGACCTGAAGCTTTGTGTGGAGCGACAGACCAGGTAGCTTCCACACAGCGTTACGCAACCGATGAAAAGATATTGCCGCTCGACTGATTCGGAGTGAGACCTCTGCTGTTAAACTGGAGCCGGTCATAAGCACACTGCCCAGGTATGGGAAACTCTCCACTCTCTCCACAACTGCCCCATCACCGATTGGGAGTTGTGGGGGTGGAGTGTCCGATGGTACAAAATACCCAGGCAGGTGCTGATGGTAAGGCCCCATCTGTTAGTGGCACGCTCCCATCTCAGCAGCAGCGTCTCCAACTCCTCCTCTGAAAGAGCAGGTATTACCAAATCATCGGCATACATAACGTGTTTAACACGTAGGCTTTCGCGACCAATATTATTCATGATAAAGGTTTTTGGGTTAGATCGCGTTATTTATAAATGTGTCATAACCCTCCACCACCCGACACGGCCAATCAAAAAAAAGTGTCACGTTGACAAAAGACAAATAGTTCACTACTTTAGCCCACCGGTGTGTTGAAGAGTGAATCCACATTTACAGTTTGAGTTGTACGACGTTTCGCTGGTAACTACATCCCCAGCATCATCGGGCAATTCGCCAGAATGGTAAAACCCTCACTTGCTCCTGGTCTTAAATAGAGCAGCCGGGTGACGTCATCATTTAACTCATTCAGGTGCAGTAATTATATAATCGATTGGTAATCAGTCAATGGTTAAGATTAGTAATGAGTTGTAGATCAGTAATTAGTTGTAATGTGTGTTATTGTGATTATATGCTACGTTAGTAATCCGTTAATTAGTATGTGTTTCCCCTATAAGGATTGTAATATGTATTATTTAATAATACGCTTCCAAGCCGCACTAAGCCTGTAGTTGTCAGAGCGATTAAAGTTATTTCTATTCCTCTCAATTTCAATGGATTCTCTAATTAGTCTTTAACAGTTATAATTAGTTTTACGCAACACTTCAACTTTATCAGTATCAATTGAGTGTCCTTGTTGACAAGCATGTTCTGCCACTGCCGCCAGTTGTGTTTGAGATAATTTAATATTTCTTTGATGTTCTTTTAGTCTTATACTGATGTTACGTCCCATCTGTCCAATATAGCATCTGCCACATAATTAATCCGATATACCCCTTCTGTTGATAATTTAGGTAATGTGTCTTTAGTGCAAGATACTAGTTTTTGAATTTTGTGTACTGTACCAAATCTTACTGTAATGTTTTGCTTTTGCAAAACACGGGCTAATTTGTCAGTTACTCCTGAGATATATGGAATTTTAATAGTTTTAACAATCTGATCGCTTTCAGCAGTGTTGCTTTGCGATCGTGATTTGGCATTCAGTGTGTTGTTAATTTGAGCATTATTGTAGCCATTCTGTCGTAGTGCGTCTTTAACGTGTTTAATCTCTCTCACTAGACTCTCACCATCTGACACTGTTTTAGCCCAATGTATGAGCGTCTTGATAAGAGAGGATTTCTGAGCTGGATGATGATGCGAATCTGCATTCAGATAGGCATCAAGTGTGCGTTTGCTTTCTGTAAACGCTGTGTGGTGTTATTTTACCGTTTAGGCCATGTCCAAGTAAAATATCTAGGAACAGGAGTGTGTTATTCACCTCCATTTCCATGGTGAACTGGATGGCTGGGTTTTGTGCATTGAGATGATTTAGAAAATCATTAAGTTTATCTTTGCCATGTGGCTGGACAACCAAAGTGTCATCCACATATCTACACCAAAAAGATGGTTTTAATGTGCTCGAGGCAAGTGCTCTTATTTCAAAGTTTTCCATGTACAGATTTGCTATAGCAGGGGATAAAGGAGAGCCCATTGCTGCTCCTTCCTTTTGTTTAAAGAAATCCACTCTCCATAAGAAGTAAGTGTTATTTAAACAATGGTCAGCAAGTTTCTGAAAATATATTTTGGTAGACCTGTATTCTTTACTAGTGTATCAAGATTCACATCATCATCCAGCTCAGAAATCCTCTCTTATTAAGACGCTCATACATTGGGCTAAAGCAGTGTCAGATGGTGAGAGTCTAGTGAGAGAGTTCAAACACGTTAAAGACGCACTACGACAGAATGGCTACAATAATGCTCAAGTTAACAGAGCACTGAACGCCAAATCACGATCGCAAAGCAATACTGCTGAAAGCGATCAGATTGTTAAAGCAATTAAAATTCCACATATCTCAGGAGTAACTGACAAATTAGCCCGTGTTTTGCAAAAGCAAAACGTTACAGTAAGATTTGGTACAGTACACAAAATTCAAAAACTAGTATCTTGCACTAAAGACGCATTACCTAAATTATCAACAGAATGTGTATATCGGATTCATTGTTTATGTGGCAGATGCTATATTGGACAGACGGGATGTAACATCAGCATAAGACTAAAAGAACATCAAAGAAATATTAAATTATCTCAAACACAACTGTCGGCAGTGGCAGAACATGCTTGTCAACAAGGACACTCAATTGATTTTGATAACCTTGAAGTGTTGTGTAAAACTAATTATTACTGGCAAAGACTAATTAAAAAATCCATTGAAATTGAGAGGACTAGAAATAACTTTAATCGCTCTGACAGCTACAGGCTTAGCGCGTCTTGGAAGCGTATTATTATTATTAAATAATACATATTATAATTCCTTATAGGGGAAACACATACTAATTAACGGATTGCTAACGTAGCATACAATCACAATAAAACACATTACAACTAATTACTCATCTACAACTCATTACTAATCATAACCATTGACTGATTACCAATCGATTATATAATTACTGCACCTGATATGAGTTAAGTGATGACGTCACCCTGGTGCTCTATGTAAGACCGGGAGCAAGTGAGGGCTTTACCATTCTGGCGAATTGCCCGATGATGCTGGATGCAATTACCAGCGAAACGTCGTACAACTCAAACTGTAAATGTTGTGGATTCACTCTTCAACACACCGGTGGGCTAAAGTAGTGAACTATTTGTCTTTTGTCAATGGTGACACTTTTTTGCTGATTGGCCGTGTCGGGTGGTGGAGGGTTACGACACATTTATTAATAACGCGATCTAACACCCCAAAAACCTTTATTATGAATACATAACGTGGTTGAGCAATATGGAGCCATCCCTTGACGGCACCCGGGCATCGATCAGCCTCCCATTATATCTGTACCAGATGGAGATTCCCCCGGTACAGCTATTGAAGGCTTCACGAACTACGTGGTCAAAATAGATGTTAAATAATGTGGGAGCCAGAGGACATCCCTGTCGCACCCCAAGGTGTACAGGGAATGGCTCTGACTCCCGGCCACGTAGTTTTACCCGGGCCCGCTCACCATCATGAAGGTCCTTAATGATCGTGAGCAGAGGGTCAGGTACTCCAAAAGCACGAAGAACAACCCAGAGCCCAGGCCTACTGATGGTATCATAGGCCTTGACCAGGTCAATAAGGCAGAGATGTAGGTCTTGTTGGAATTCCCTACACCTCTGCTGTAGCAGACGGACAGAAAATATGGCATCTGTGCAGGACCGCCCTTTCCTGAAACCGCACACATACACACACATGTACACACACGTACACGCACACACACATACACACATGTACACACACACATGTACCCACATACACACACATGTAAACACACACACATACACACGTACACACACGTACACACACACATGACACACACGTACACACGAAAACAACAGCTGCTGTTCGCCACTAAGTGGAGGTGACGTCACCACGACGCATGTGCCAGGCTAGGTGCACTCCGAGGCCACGTGAAGTATCGAACGCTCGCTGCTGGCAGGAGGTCACGGGACAGACCGTGCAGGTGCCATGGGTTGTACTGCTGTGCCAGGCTAGGTACACCAGGAGGAGGTCACGTGACAGACCCTGCAGGTGCCATGGGTTGTACTGCTGTACCAGGCTAGGTGCAGGAGGAGGTCACGTGACAGACCCTGCAGGTGCCATGGGTTGTATTGCTGTGCCAGGCTAGGTGCAGGAGGAGGTCACGTGACAGACCCTGCAGGTGCCATGGTTTGACTGACTGAGATGACTGGCAGATGCACCACCTGTGCCCCCTACTGTGCCGACTTGCTATGGGTCTCTGTGTGGTGAGTCTGTGGGTCTCTGTGTGGTGAGT